TAGAGTTTCTAAACTCTTTGAACCCCACCGGACTACGGCCCCATGCGTTGAGCCTCAAAATCGGAGACCTAGGAATGTTGGAACCGCCAAGTCTCTGCAATAGAACACGCCTTGTGGTTAAGAAACTGCTATCATATGCTATTGAGGCCCCTATTCTCACATAGGAAAGAATGTATTCAGACCCAGGATACCTACTCACTCCATCAGGTGCGGAAATCCTTTTTGCTCTTCGCAGACTTCAATTTCCACAAAGACTTTGGTTTGCGATGTTAATCAACAAGTCTCAAGGAAAAACGCTCTCCACAGCAGATCTATATTTATATAATTCATGCTTTTCCCCTTGGTTCTTGTTTTATTTTACGGTATATAAACCTTAATGGCACTATTTACATTATTCGGACTATTGTCTTCATCTTTGTCGCCATATTTATTACAACGTTTCGGCCGTCGTATGCTCCGGCCTTCTTCAGGTGATTGGAATGTCGAACTGAACCCTTTATTTCGCTCACTAAGGTAGAATGTTCTAGTTCCACGTGCCATTTTTAATGGATGGAAATATAGACAGACAACCTCAATGGGTTATTTAATGCCAACAAAAATGAGAACAATGTTCAAAAATATATTGCTACTAATATTTTTTCCTTCCAAAATGTATTGCTGCTAATATTCTTTTTCCTTGAAAAATACATTGCTGATAATTTTTTTCAAAAATGTATTGCTGACAATAATGTATTGCTGGAAATTTTTTTTTTTTTCAAAACTTCATTGCTGGTATTTTTTTTAGAAAGATGTATTGATGGTATTAAAATCTAACTTTACACTTTCATAGTGCTTTGACCCCAGTTTGGGTGTTAACTATTTGCCCATAGCTGGAACCCTAACAGGTGCTACCACCCCGGGTCAGGGTGGGCCTGGGAACACCAGCAATTAAGAGGTGGTACCACGCTCCTCAAAACCTCCTGATCAGAGGCCCTGCTGATGGATGAAGTTTATGGTCTTACCCAGGACTCTTATTTGAGGGAGTCTTACCCCTCTGCACAGGTATTCTGAAGTCCCAGTCGACAGGGTGGTCGAAATGCGGTGATTCAAAGCTATCTTGTCGTGTTATTTATTTATTCTTGATTATTATTATTATTATTATTAAATTTCTTTATGGTTTTGTCTTTCTTTCTTCTATCCCTTTTGCATTCAAACTGTCCTGTAAGTATCAAATTTTCTAAACTGTCTTTCCTCATCATGTGCCCTAGGTATTTCAGTGGTCTCTGATGTTGTCATGGCTTTGTTGGGGCCAGAAATAAAGGCACAAAGAGAGGAACTGAGTTAAACAAATATATTAACAGAAAAAAATAATACAAATATATACAAACGAGAGTGTTACAGGAATGTTCGGTCCGACTCTCAGAGCTGACTACTGGAAACTTCACCTCTACCAAAAGGCAGTACCTGCTCCTATTTATAGGTGGGAGAGTAAATTACCATAACACATATCAATTCTCAGATAATAAAAAAAGGAATATATGGAAAGCCATGATCGCTTAAGCCTCACAGAATTTTAAAAGATTTTTTTAAAAATCACTGTAAAATGAATGTTGCTTGCTTGATGGCCGCTCAAACAGCTGGAAACCGGAGACTGGGTAAATTACCATAACAGATGTATAAGTGTCCTTTTTTTTTACTATTTTCTCTAAAACCTCGCCGTTGCACACTTGTTCAGTCCACGGTATTCTCAGGATCCTTCTGTAGAATCACATCTCTGTTGCTTCAAGCCAATTCTTCATTTTTGAGGAAATTGGCAAGAATCCAGTGATATCTAGAAGGACAGTACTTTTTTCCTTGTTTCTAACGAAATTTTTCTGTTGCTTATTATTTGGCTTAGCTTTAGGAAGACATCTTTCGTTATCCCAAATTACAGTTAGATAGTGTTGAAACTGGACTAATGCATGGAATAATAATACAACACAAAATGTACTTAGAACAAAATGTATTGAAACAAGAAAGTGTACACAATATTTACATATAGTCTTTTGTATATTCTTAGGAAGACCGTTCCTGGAGAATGTGTTGACTTAGTCGCAGTCGGGCAGAGTGAGTCTCTGGATTGAATCTCTTGATTCCTACCCTCGTCTTCCCGGTACCAACCATATTTATATGGTCGGTACTCCACTATGCAAATTAGGTGGATCCTACCACAACAGATAGATAGATAGATAGATAGATAGATAGATAGATAGATAGATAGATAGATAGAATCCACTGATATCTAGAAGGACAGTACTTTTTTCCTTGTTTCTAACGAAATTTTTCTGTTTCTTATTATTTTGCTTAGCTTTAGGAAGACATCTTTCGTTATCCCAAATTGCCTTCGGATTTCTGTGTAACACTTACCGCCTTCTTTTAAAACACTTCCCAAATATTTAAATTGATGTACTTGTTTTAGTATCTCCAATCTGTAATAGATATATTGGTTTGTCCCTTTTACTAACAAACATTCATTCTATCTTCTTCGTGCTTTCCTTCCCTACGTTATATATACAGTCTTTAGATGTGTACATAAAACAAGCTTTGGAGTAAAGGTCTGTAAAACGGAAATAATTTGGATAATAACAATTATTATTATTATTATTATTATTATTTTCTTTGATTTTTGGCGTTTACACATTTCTTTCCGGGTCCCGCCCAGGGACCTAAGGTTAGAAATGGCGTCATGACACTTTCCACTGACAAAAAAAAATTAAATTACATAGATAAAGTCCTTCGTAAGGTGTGGGCTGTACTTGTCAGAACAATTTTTTATATCTCCTTGAGGCATGGACTTCCAGGAATCCCTTCAATTAATCTATTGCAATCTTTTCCAACCAGTCCTAGGGCTCCAACTACAACAGGGATTGTTGATGTTCCCATATGCTACATTTTCCAGATTTCTATTTCAAGGTCCTTGTACTTTGACAACTTTTTGAATATCTTCAAAGATACATTGCAGTCAGCAGGGACTGCCATATCAATAAGGAGGCATCGTTTTTGTATGTGGTCTTTAATAACAATATCTGGCCGGTTGGCCTTGATTGTTCTGACAGTGTGTATTGTGTAGTCCCATAGAATTGTAACAGGCCCTATCTCCGTAACCGGGTCTGGGTGGTGTTCATACCAGTTTCTTTCAGTTTCCTTATTATTATTATTATTATTATTATTCCCTGCAGATTATAATGTATCTTTGAAGATCTAAAAAAAAAAACTATCAAAATATAAGGATCTTGGAACCCTAAAAAATATGGCACATGAGGAGATCAATAATTCCGGTTGTACTTGGAGCACTCGGATTGATTGGAAAATATTCCGATAGACTCATTGAAGGATTCCTGGTAGCTCATGCCTTAAAGAAATACGAAAAATTGTATTCACAATACTTATTAGAGATTTATGATAATGTAAAACATAAGTCATTTGGGGGAGGGGGTTGTTTTGTTTTACAAAACATGATCAGTGAAAAATGTCATGAAGATATTTCTGACATTAGGTCTCTGGTTGGGACCCGGGGGGAAATATGTATACAACAGAAATCAAAGGATAATAATAATAATAATAATAATAATAATAATAATATTTTTTTTTTTTTTTTTGTCAGTGGAAAGTGTCATGACGCCATTTCTAACCTTAGGTCCCTGGGCGGGACCCGGAAAGAAATGTGTAAACTCCAGAAATCAAAGAAAATAAAAGTAATAATAACAACAACAACAACAACAACAACAACATTGTGAAGTATTTGACAATCTTTACATGTGTATATAAAATAAGTCATTTTTTAACAAGTGAAAACATTTTTGATGTAACATAATAATAATAATAATAATAATAATAATAATAATAATAATAATAATAATAAAATAAGCGTTGGAGTAAATGTCTGTAAAAATGAACGTATCTTTTGATACAACGTAATATAACTGAAAGCACAGACGCGTATGAAGAAAATCTACATAAAAGGTAAAAGGTTATATATATATATATATATATATGTGTGTGTGTGTGTGTGTGTGTGTTTGTCATTGTGTGTGTGCGTGCGTATTTATGTATGTGTGTGTGCGTGTGTGTGTATTGGATGTGTGGGAAATTGACCTTTTATATATGGAGGGTGTTCCAAACATGGTAACATATTTTGGTGGTAACTGATATGCTTTTCCTATTAAACTCACTTGGAGAACTGACACTGGCACAAGAATACTTACAAGAAAAATCATGACACATTTTAGAGACTCATGATGCAATGTTTGAAATGTTCATAAAGCATGTATATATTTTGATACAAACTCACAAATACACGCGCATACACATAGATAGATAGATAGATAGATAGATAGATAGATAGATAGATAGATAGATAATGAACAGACTGAGATAGATAGATAGATAGATAGATAGATAGATAGATAGATAGATAGATAGATAGATAATGAACAGACTTAGATAGATAGATGTTGTGGTAGGATCCACCTAATTTGCATAGTGGAGTACCGACCATATAAATATGGTTGGTACCGGGAAGAGAAGTGGGGAATCAAGAGATTCAACCAGAGACTCTGCCCGACTTCGACTCAGTCAACACATTCTCCAGGAACGGTCTTACCAGGAATATGCAAAAGACTATAAGTAAATATTGTGTACACTTTCTTGTTTCAATACATTTTGTTCTAAGTACATTTTGTGTTGCATTATTATTCCATGCATTAGTCAAGTTTCAACAGACAGATAGATAGATAGATAGATAGATAGATAGATAGATAGATAGATAGATAATGAACAGACTGACATAGATAGATAGATAGATAGATAGATAGATAGATAGATAGATAGATAGATAATGAACAGACTGAGATAGATAGATAGATAGATAGATAGATAGATAGATAGATAGATAGATAGATAATGACCAGACTGAGAAAGAAAGAAAGAAAGAAAGAAAGAAAGAAAGAAAGAAATGAACAGACGAGAGCTATTGTAATCATTTTTGTTGTAACTATCACAAAGTTTGTGTCCTCTGGCCTTCATCTTTAGCTTGTTGATCGAAGTAACCTTTGTTTAATCTACGGAGATAGATTTTTCTCATTCTGTTGGCCATGTCCGTGAGGACACTGGCTTCTCAGATGTCTGAGAAACTCAATGCATATGCTTGGTTATTAGGAACCCCTGAGAAGGCCTAGCGTATAAATAAATACAATATGGTGGCCATTAACACAGAAGAAAGCGAAATGCCAGACAGGCTTCACCAGCAGTAGCCACAATAAAAAAAGAGGAAGAGGGAGAGAAGCCTCGCTGAATGCAGTCAATGGTATCAAGCAGCAAGAGCAGTGATTGTAAGTTCAAACCTTAGGCCAAGTAGTACCGATTAGATTCACTGAAAAACCGTTCAAGCAATAATCAAACGGTACTAAGTATGAATAATTAATTCGTTTCTTGCGGCTTACCAATACTTTGCAGGTTATGTAACCCCTTGCCTGTCTTGCGTATCATATGGGATGCACAGGACATGTGATTTGCACGTTCGTGCATCATATGTGGTGAACACGAGCCATGATTTTAAAAGAGTGGTAAAACTAAGGACGCTTAAGAAAAGAGTCTACTTTTGAGCAGGATGCCTGAGAAAAGGCCTAATCTAATATTTTGTGCATCATATATGACCACAGGACTCTTGACTGATATTGTAACGTCTCAAATGAAAGACACCTATTTTTCTCATCAGAATCTGTCTTCTCGTGTGTCAAAAACAATTTCAGAGCCCAGTTTGATCTACACATGCGTACCCGGACACGTAAAAAATGGAAGAGATGACAGCCTTTGTCTATGAACTCATAAAAACATTATGCCGACCATTATAAAGTAAGTCATCACTACAAAGTATTACTTTATAAAACAAATTCACTCCAAGGAAAATCGAACAATTTATTGCATTGTATATTTCTAAAAAAAGAATATTAAAAGAGCGGGAAAACTAAGGACGCTTAGGAAAAGAGTCTACAATTGAGCAGGATGCCTGAGAAAAGGCCTTATCTAATGTTTTCTGCATCATATATGACCAAAAGATGCTTGACTGATAATTTAAAGTCTCAAATGAAAGACATTTGTTTTTCCGCTTTATTGAAATGATTATAACCTTTTCATCACATGTGATCCCCAGAGTGTAGTGTAAATAACTTATGATTTGTAGATTCTGTTCATTACATGTGATGTGTAGGTTTTTATCATGTGAAACACTATATACCAGCACATTCTATTTGTCAAATGAGCTGAGTTACCTTGCGATAGATATAAATCTGAAAACAAGGATGAATGTTTGGATAGTACACACGAAAATGCCCTAGACAGGCAAAGGGTTAAGATTGTGGCCACCAGTAATAAGTCCTGGTAAGACTTCTAACTTTCTCATAATTGCCTCCCTATATAGGTTGAATAATCCGATGAGAAAGCACATCTTTGATTTCCACCCATCTTTAATAATTTATTTTAACTCTTTGCCTATCCTGTGGTAAAACTAAGGGCGCTTAAGAGAAGAGTCTACAATTGAGAAGGACGTATGAGGAAAGGCCTAATCTTATATTTTGCGCATTATATATGACCACAAGATGCTTGACTGATAATTTAAGGTCTCAAATGAAAGACATCTATTTTTCCACTTTATTGAAACGATTATAACCTTTGTATTACATGTGATGCCCAGTGTGTAGTGTAAATAATGATTTGTACGATTTTTGTATCACATGTGACGCACAGGTTTTTATTATGTGAAACACTATATACCAGCACATTCTATTTGCCAAATAAGCCGAGTTGTCTTGCAATAGTTATAAATCCGAAAACAAGAATAAACGTTTGGATAATACAGTTCCAAGGGCGACTCCCTGACCAGCTATGCCGACCACCTGAGGAGTCAAAGATTAAAATATGAACCTTCTTTCGAAAAAGAGGAAAAGTTACAGCACCTGAAAGAAGCTGTGAAAACAAAACATCAAGTTACTGGAAAAACTGTTTCTTCTTTCTCGGCACCGTCTTCCCCTTCTGTCAAACAGCATATGGCTCCTTCACCCATCGTAAAAACTCACCCCTTCCAAAAATGACCCCCCTTAAGAAGGGTCCCAACCCCCAAATCCTCAGCCAGCCAAAAATCTACCCCTGGCAATACCTCTAATACTTCCCCTGTCCAAACGCCTATAAACTCAAAAAAGACAAAGTCCTTCTTCTGACTTCAACGATCCTGCATCAATCAAAAAAAAATCTAAACCCATTTATCAAACTCGGGAAGACGTGTGCCGATTTTCTAAAGATCTAGAAGGTAAGGCTCTGTTAAAATCAAGAAAACTGAAGAAATTAAAAACGCTATTAAAAAAAACGATTTGGATGTAGAAGATCCGCGAAACTTTCCAAATGCAAAAAGAGTTTAAACAGTGTGGCTGGTCAACAAATATGGGCCATGGTTGTGGAAGCAAACCATATATTTGGAATGTTTCCGCCTATGGCCTGCTTTGACAATGACATTGTTAAAAAGTTACAGCAATATTGTTCAAGGAGATTCCTGTTTTTGTTTACCCATCCCTTTATAGAGCTTTGAAGTTAAACTTTCCCTTGGACATCAGTGGCCTGTCTCCCAATGGCACCATCAAGAGCGAGATGGGAACAGGTTCTATGGAAGAGGCTATCAGTGTCCTCACCCCGGCTATGTTCAATGCAGGACAGCATCCCTAATCGGTCGGATAAATGACTCTCTGGTTAGCAAGTTTGAATGCCCGAGGCCCGAGGTCGGAGTCTCGAAAGGCGAAGCTCTGTCGCGATCTTCAGCGCCTCGGGGTGGGTGTTTGTTTTGTGCATTTTTTATGTCGCCGCCGTGAGGACATTCTGTCTAAGGGGTTCGTCCTCTATTCAGCATGTTTTGATGGACGCTTAAGGGGTATTTCCTGGCTGGTGAGCAAGTCTCTGAATGCGGCGTGTGCTCTTGTCTTCGCGGATCCGGCGGGCAGGCTTTGCGTGCTGGATGTTACCATAAAGGATAAGGCTCTTCATCTCATTGGGGATTATGCACACAATGACAATGTGCATCGGACTGATTTGTTTCAGCAGATCGCGCCGTTTATGATGACAACTCGTTCGATAGTTCTGAATGAGCACCCCCAGGAGGTAGTATGGACTTGGACTAGGGGCGGCAGCACGGATTCGGTGGTAAGCGAAAAGCTACATCGACCGAGTTCTAGTTAAGAGAGTCGACGTAGTGCTCTTAGAATGTCCAAGTTTCCATTTTACAGTTTAGTCGGATCATAGGCGGGTTCAGTTAAACTTAGATAAGCCTAAGGTTAAGACGGCTGGTTACTGGAAATTGAACGCATCATTATTTAGTGATCAAGATTTCCGGGACCAGCTTTTACTAATGATTCAGTAGGAATTGTCGGTAACTGTGGTTGGGAATAAGTAGTGGGGTTCTCTGAAATCCCAACTTATGTCTTTTGTCAACAACTTAATTTAGCAGGGTTAGCAGCGCAAAAGGCTTGGGAGAAAAAAAGTAGATTGGGCATCAAATCCCGTGATAGTGGGTACGTTGTCTTTGTTAAGGAGGAGCTGGCCTCCTTGCTTATCAATAAGGATCAAGCTCTAGTAGTTAGGGCTAGACAAAAAAGAATGTCTTGCGAGTCTTCGAATATAGCTGCTTCATTGCGTGCCGAGGAAGCTCGTAGGGTATCTAGTCGGCATATCGCGAGCATCACATTGTCGGATAAGCGGACTATGACTACAGACGTAGGCATTTGTGAGGCTTTTCGTGACTACTTTCAGGAGCTGTTTATCAGGGATCCTGGTCTGAGCCCTGATCAGTTCGATGTCTACTTGGCCGATTTTCCCCGCCTCGAGGCGGCAGAAGCAAGTAGACAGTGATGCCGCGCTGATCAATTTAATTCAGTCCAAGGCTTTCGATAGGGTTGACCATCGAATTCTGGAGGCTGTAATTTCAGCCGCTGGTTTCTGGCCGGATTTCGCACTTACCGTATGCGTCCCCCGGTGCGCTGGTAGAAGTGAATGGGGTAAGATCGAAACCTTTCATTTTGTCTCGCTCCATTCGTCAAAGTTGTCCGCTGTCTCCATTGCTGTACGTTCTTGCGTTGGGACCTTTCCCGCGAGATTTGAAGACGAATCCGGTCCTTCACGGAATTTCCTTACCTGGTGCTACCACCTCGGCCAGGTACTCCGCCTATGCTAATGACGTTAGAGCGAGATCTGTTACCACCATCCTTCTGATGGCAGTCTAGGGGTGCCTTGCGATGAGATTCGTCGACATACGCTTCGCATTACTTATCTAGACCGGATGTATATGCAATTGGATGAGAACGGCGAATTCTGGAAGGGAGACGTGCGTAGAAACTTTCCATCCTTAAGAAGTGTGCACTCGTGCGAAGAGGAGGCTGTCCGTTCACCTCGAGGCGAAGGCTCCTTCTATCGCGAATGTTGGCTTGCCTTCAAGCATCTCTTTCGGGAAAGGTTGGCCTCTCCGACGTCCAGCCGTTGTCCCGTAAGGCATTATATCAGATGTTAGTTAGGGGGAACGTTCAGGTTGCTTTCATAGACGATCTCGGTCTGACGAAGCGCGAGGATCACTGCATATGGCCTTGGGCACCCGGTTTGAAATGTCTCACTAACACTGAGGCATCACTCACCTGGCTGGTGATTCGAGAGGCTATCTAAGTTGGAAAAAAAACTGCAGTGGGAAGGTAGAGACTATAGGTCACGCCTTTTTTTAGTGTCATAGCTCCGTTGTGCAAGTTTGTTGAGGGCTTCATGGTTCGCATGCTGCGCGGAAAGTTCTTTGTCCTCGAGGCCAGTTCCGTCTGTAGCAATATAGTACCGCCGTTGACTAAATCTGAGCACTATGTGTTCCTTTGCTTACTGGGGGTTATGCGAGTCGTGATATGGACGACGCGATAGAAGAAATTCCATGGGGCCGAGAAGTTTACCTCTTCCCAACTGATCTTGT